CACTCACTGCAGGTGTCCTGGAGGAGGAGATTGGAGAGGCAGTGACCAGGAAGCACTCAAACGCCACCACCCATGCTGGGCCGCAGGGCCGCAAGTGTCATAGCCCCGACAAACGTTTCCTGTGCTGATCTTGAGAGCTGCCCACCTCTTACAAAACTCTACAAACGCCGTCTCAACTTTCTGGCCACCTACCAGTACTTCCTTGTATTATCTCCGTCTATTTTACGTTGCTGTAACACAATTCCTGAGCCTGGGCTCTTTATCCCATAGAGGGGAAGCAGAACAGGAAACAGCCCACTTGGAAGGAGGTGAGTGCTCCGAGGGTAGCCTTGCTGCAGAACTAATTCTCTCTCATGAAAGCCAGATTCTCGCTCCCCCCGACAGGACATCATTGATCTAGTCACAGGGTAGTGATTCTGTGTTCCAGCCCCTGCCCCCTGCAGTGAGAGCCTCCACTTTCTCCACGCTGGGAACCAAGACCTCAGCAATGAACTTTTGGGGAACTCTGTTGTCCATCTTTATAGACCCTGATCTAAGTTGCCTACTATTAAGCAGGGCATAACAAAAGAGAGCCAATGAGCTAACATTAAAAGAAATAAAACAATCTGATATGGGGACACCAGGCCAGTCATGGTGACATCAAAAGAAATACAGAAAACCTAAGCGGTTAGTTCCAGCCTTTTCCACATTCTTCTTGCAAACCAGTTTCAAAGACCCGAGAACCACGTGGTGAGAGTTGTGCGAGCAAGGGCCACTGCGCAGCACCAGCCCTGCCCATTGTGATAAACCCTCAGACAAGATCAGCCTCCCCGTCCCTGGAGGCCACGTGTGGAGTCAGCTGGATGCCCAGCAGTGGGGGCGTGGGTTTTTAATATGCTGTACATCCACAGTGCGAACATTATTCAGTCATAAAGAACAACCTGCCCCTTGACGGGAAGCAGATGGAACTGGTGATAACATTAAATTAAATAGGGCCAGGTGGCGGTGCACATCTTTAGTCCTGGCACTTGAGAGGCAGCAGCAGTCGATCTCTATGAGTTCAAGGCCAGCCTGGTCTACAGAGTGAGTGCCAGGCCAGCCACGACTGTTGTACGGAGAAACCCTGAGTCAAAAATTAAATGAATAAATGACTGAATAAATCAATAAATAAAAGTCCTTTTCAGAAAAACATACCTGTTTCTTTCACACATAGGGCCTAGATTTAAAAAAACAGACATTATAACGAAAGGGGCCGCTTAACAAGAGGAGAGCAGGGAGGAGGGCTGTAGTGAGCAAAAGTCTGACCAAAGCATGTGACAGGCAGGAAGAGCCACAAGGAACCCACAGTTTGGCAGAACAAGTCTCCGCTGCTTTTAAAGGAAGAACTTACAGCCTGCAAGAGGTTGCGGGGCCATGCTCTTGGGGAGAGATTGGCCCTAGGGCAGGCTCCCCATGATCTGGCTCCCCCTACACACCTGAACTCTGTCTGCTGTCTCATCTTCTGATCCCCTGCTCCTGCCACCGTGCCAACAGCCATGAGACCCTGCCTAGAGTCAGAGCCGGGAGCCTCCCCCTCCTGAACTTTCAGCCTTTACAACTAGTAACTGAACAAGCTCTTGTTCTTTACAGTCACCCAGCTTCAGAGATATTGAAGCAACAACAGCAACAAAGACAGAGAATACCCTTCCCCAAGCCTCACACATTCCAGTCACTGACACTCTTGTTTCTGCTGTGTCTGCAAGTCCAGGAAAACATGATTGACGCTGAGCCAAAGCCTGGGGCAGAGTCAGCCCATTCTTGTAGCAGAGGTCCCAGCTAAGACGGGCGAAGCCAGCACCACCAGCCTCCCAGCTGACCACAAGATCATGAGAGCCAAGATGTGTCCAATCAGGCCAAGACCAAAGAAAGGCCCAGTTGAGGCTCCCAGCGTGTCCGAGTAATTCCAGGGCGTGCTAGTCTAAAAATAAACCACGCTGGAAACGCGCCATCCCCAACAGAGCCTCCACATTTACACACAAGAGGGCTTGTGTTCCGCCTTACGTGTTAGCCAAGACTAACATCTGTGTCACGCACATGGACACGCACACATGTGCACACGGCATACATGCGAGATGTCCTTCGGCTCTTGGTGAGTTAAGTCCTGACAAACTGATTTTAAGTTGTGAAGATCGTAAGCCAAAACGCGTTTGGTGAGGCAAGGTTGCTGGCCGCGCCTGCGGGAGGGTGAGCCTGAAGCTCAGAACCAACCAGACAGGATGTGGGTGTGCGTGCTGGGATCCAAGGCCAGGGATCTGGAGCTCGCTGCTCAGTCAGCCTGGCCTGACTGCGAGCCAGGCTCAGACAGAACGGCAGGGAGGGACTGATGAAGATACCTAATGCAGAGCGCTGGCCTCCACAGGCGTGTACACATGTGCGCGTGCACACACACACACACACACACACACACACACACACACGTGCATGCGCACACACGCCCAGGGCTGCACAGTGCATTTGGTACCTTTAATTTTCTAAGCATAATGTCTTAGGAAGACAGAGTGCGGTAGTGTACCGGAATCTGCCTCTCTGTCGCAGGGCTGCCTGGGAGTTTTGTTTACTGCTGACCAGGCTGACCAGTGTCACGGAGAACTGGACCCTGAAGCTCGGCAGCCACCGGGCTGAGAATGCCTATGTGTCGATCTGGTCATGACTGGGAGGCCAGGGCAGATGGGTCCGTCTCTGCCTCCCACCTGCCAGGCCTTTTCCTGTGCGTGTCCCAGAGGAAGGCTGGGCAGATAGGTCTTCCTCCACAGTCTTTAGAGAATGAAATGCTCTCTAGCCCCAGACTGAAATCAGCCTTCCCAGACCGGAGGCACTTTATTTTATGACCCTGCCAGGCTGCTCGCTATCCCAGAATGCCCTCCCGATTCCCTCATTAACCGGCCTCTGTGCCCTAGCTTCCCTCAGTAGCTTGGACTGGTCTTTCCGACAAGACCGTGCGTAGGTTCATCTGCATTTTGCATCCTGTAATCAGGAGTCTGACCTTGTGGCAAGCTTGGCTGTTGGCAATTTTTGTGCTCTAAGCATCTAGTATTCTTTGGGGGTTGTGTAAGTCAGCTGTTAGCAGGGGTCCACAGTTCCCTGTTCATCTGCACCTGGACCCAACCTGGCTCAAGACACCTTTGAAAATGAACCATCAGGGCCTGGAGAAACAGTTTGGGGTTAAAGCTGCTCTTCCAGAGGACCTGGCTCAAGCCCCAGCATCCACATGGCAACTCACAGTTGTCCCCTCCCCCTCCTGGCTTCCACAGTCATCATCAGGCTTGCAGTGGTACACAGACACACACTCACATACAGGCAAAAGACCCATACACATAAAAAAAAGAACCACCAGATTTTACTTCTCACACTCCCTTCTCCTGCAGCAGAAGGGGTGCTTTTTAGAGAGCGTGTGAGTCCCCCACCAATAACCCAGCCTCTGTACTGTCCATCTCCATGGAAAACACAATGGCCCTAATGTCTGCAGATAGCCAACTTCTCAGCCCACACTGCCCAGTGTGGCCTCTATGCCCAGACAGTCATTTAAATGGAAACTAAATGCAGTAATACAATATGAAAAACTTGTGAGAATTCTGGGGGTTTTTTTTTTGGTTTCTTTAAAAAACATAGAAACATGAGAACATGGTTTTGCTTTAATCCCGGTGTGGGGTTGAGGGGCTGCTTCGGAAGGTTGGCAGCAGCTGACCGTGATTTGCCTCGTGCTCTAGCAGAAGCGTGGTTTCCCCAGCTGAAGCGTGGTTTCCCCAGCTGCAGATCACTTCTGTGGTTGTGTGACATTTGGAATTCCAGGAACTTTTCAGAGGGCTCATAAATGCTAGAGCCCCAGTTGGCAGTGTGGGAGGTTGGCAGTCGTTTAGAGAGGTTGATTTTGGTTTGTTAGTGGCCATGGTCAAAGAAGAAGCTCAAGGGAAGAAATTAACTTCAGGGATTTTCCTAATTCCTCTCTCCCCAGTTTTCTTCTATCTGGTGTTAGGGGGTGAAACAAGGGTAAGAAAAAAGAAGAACCCACAAAGTAGCAAAGTCCAGCTACAAGCTGGTCCCTGGGGTTGGTTTGTATTCTAACTCTTGTTAGTGTCTCTTGAACAAAAAGAGAATGTTTTCATCTCGGGAAGTTCCACTGGGTCCATCCGTAAACCTCTTCCTAGTAACTTCTGCCCCTCCGATATTGGACTGTCTGTTTTCTGACCCCCAATTATCTGTTAACCCTTCCTTCCCGCTCCCCTTCTCTTGGATTTCAGGATTTCTTCTACAGAGCACACTCAAGGGCTCAGGAAGCAGTTTGGCTGCTCATGTCTGTGGAGCGTTCAGGAAGCCTTCTATCTCTAGCTCTGCATGAGCCAGGGGCAGGCTGTAATCCAGGCACCCAGGAGTGGAAGCAGGAGGGTCAGAGGAAATTCAGGGCCATCCTCCACTACAGAGTGGGTTTGGAGACAGCCTATGCTATATGAGATCCTGTCTTAAAACAAAGCAGCAACAAAACTCTGCTCCCAGTCTCCATCTACATTAAAGCCCCACTTCAGTTACAAGAGGTATGGCTAGAAACAAATCCACAGATTTGAGGTGGTGGGGGCTTCCTTAATTTTGCAGTGTAAGCTGTCTGGGCTTCGGTAGAAATGGCGGTGAGCTCGCAGTTCCTAGCAGCTTCAGGAATGGCGCTGTAATAAACCCTTGCTGGGAGCTGGCTTCTGCTCTGTGCCAAACAACCAGAGGTAAAGTTGGGCAGCAGGTTTTGCTCCCGCAACAGAACACTACATGAACACCTAGCCCCGAGTGACAGAGAAAAGCCTGCCGTCCAAAGAGGGCTGTTAATCTGCCATCACTGTGGGCTTCCAGATCTACCATCATCTTGACATCTCCCTCTGACTTTTGGAGCCCTTATTCATCTCTAAGCAAATAGCACACACCCGCCGATTCAAAGCAGATTAAAAATCCGGCACACCCGGAGGTGACGGTGTGAAGGTCTCTGGAAGAGAAAGAGTAAGAGTGTCTGTGCGTTCTTTCCTCCAGATGGACCAGAAACAAAGATCTCAGGACAGACACTTTATGTGGGGAGGGTCATTCAAGGAAACCCCAGTGCAGAAAGAGAAGAGAAGGCAGCCAGTCAGCAGCAAGGGACCACTACCAGCAGCAGTCGCGTGGCCAGTCAGCCCAGAGCCTCCAGGAGACTGCGGTGGGTGTGAGCTGCTACACGGAGCTGATGGTTTTCTTCCAACTAAAGCTTCTCTTTGGACAGCTAGTACCTGGGGTACCCTTAGGGATGGGTGAGCTGGGTGGGAAGGGGTGAGCTGGGGAGGGATGGGTGAGATTGGAGGGGTGAGGTAAGATGAAGTTGGATGTGATAAGATGATACTGAATGGGTTGGGATTAAATGGTTGAATGTGATAGGAAGTGGGATTGATGGAGTTGGGGGTGGTGAGGTTAGTTAGGGCGTTGGGGTAGGATGGGATGGGAAAGATGGCCTCCTACAACCCGAGAGCAATGTTTTTAGACATCACAGAGCTCTGCCCCCAGGTTCAGGCAAATCATCTCCAGGATGTCCCCCACACCAGGGGACCAGCTTGGAGAAGCTCATCAAGTCTCTTAACAGGAGTAGGATTGAGTAAGACCCATCTCAGATGCCTCCCTACGCCTCACAACCAGGACAGTGTTCCACAGAAGAGAACACAGGTAAGTTGTTTGTTTGGAGTTTGTCTTCAACCAATATCTTCACACACACACACACACACCACATATGGGGAGAGAGAGGAAAACAAAGCTGAAAACAGAGGACGGGCAGTTGGAGTTGAGGGAAAAGGAAGACAGACAGGCTGCTGTGAGGGAAGGAGCGGCCTGGACAGCCTGGACGGCCTTAGTTTCCCATCGGTCACTGTAGGAATTTGCACCAGTTTGCCCTGCTCCTGCCCCGAGAACAGAGCCCACCTCACAGGCGCTCACGGCGAGGGATCAGCGTGTGGGAGAGTGAGGGTAGTCCTTCCACACTGTGACAGGGTTGGGGCTCTGAGACACCAGTCTTTGGCACTTGCCAGGGCCACCCTCTCAGGTCTTCCCGAAGTGTGGAGTGGGCCAGACAGGTGCTCACACTGTTGATGGCCTGCCCGTGGCTGTGCTTCAGTCGCAGGCCGGCTCCAGCTGGCTGGCTTTCTTCTGGAGGTCCTTGGGTGGGGAGGTGTGGATCGTGGCCTTGGAAGGCTCTGACACAAGATTTGTGAAAATAGAGCTGCTTTCCGCAGCGACTACCGAGGGGTACAGCAATCCTGAAGAGCCCCAGTGTGGTGCCTTACCCTGTGGGAATGAGAGCAACGCCCAGGCCTTCGGTCCCACATGTGGCCGGATCCACCTGAACTTCAGCCATTGCCTGGCTGAGATCCTAACTACTCCAGACCGTCTATGGGGGTGAGGGGTGCAGGTTCAGGAACAGGGAAGCACACCCTTCCCGGAAGTGCCCCCGCAACCAGCCTTCCAGCCTACGGGCTTTGTGACGGCAGAGGAGGGACCGGGGCAGCTCCACCTTCTCTGCTGCCCCGATGGAACTGACAAAACACCACCACCGAAGGTAACTTCAGGAGGTGGCTTTTGATTACAGTTCCGGAGGTTCAGAGTCCATGGCGGTGGGGAAGGCAATGGCAGCGGGCAGCAGGGTCACCGGCCCCTATCCAGGGACCTGAGAGCGATGAGGGAAACAGGGTGGGTGTGGCACAACTCCAGTAGAAGGCGGTGGCTCAGAGACCAGGAGAGGAGGATGAGGGGTGAGCAGTATGCGCGCATGCTCTAGTTCAAGGGAAACACCTGTTGCAGGACTCCGAAAAGGAAGCCAAATGAATATTAATTGGAGGTGAGAGGTGGGGCGCCCATTTGGGAGACAATATTTGTGATTAGGGTGTGTTTCCTTGTGGGCGATTTCCGTGTTTCACTCACGCGGTGTGGAGGAGCCAGCTCAGACTGGCCAGTGCCCAGTTCCGGGAGGGTAGTGTGAATGACTGTGAATGCAAACAGGAGCCATGCCAGCTGGGGGCATGCAAATTAGCGTCATGCAAATAAGGCTCTTCCTTGTCAAAGATCTTATCCCGGGGTGGTGGGCTGCGGCTCTGTGCTGTCAGGGGTGAGCAGCGTGGGGTTCTGGGCCAGGCTAACGGAGGGCTGGCTCCACTTGCCGCTCTCTCATGAGCGACCTTCTGAACACAAGACCTCCCTTTGTGAAGGCATTCTGGGGCCGAGACAGGAAAGCTTGCATAGTGGGAGGGTCACACAGACAGGTTAGTGAAGCCAGGAGGTCTGCCTCAGTTGTCCCTGTGGACCTTGTGTCTAGCTCTGAGGAGAGGTCACAGGTGACGTCTTGGGGATGTGTTTGCTAATTGGTGCTACATAACAAGTCACCGCAAATCCAGGGCTTGAAACAAGAACCACTCATTTCTGTCCTAGTTTGGGTTACCATTGCAGGACCAAGGCAAGTAGAGGAGAAAAAGTGCGCTGGTCTGAGTGACAGCAACCCCCGTAGGCTCACAGGGCATGGCACTGGGAGGAGGCGTAGCCTTGTTGGAGGAAGTGTGTCACTGGGAATGGGCTTTGAGGTTTCAGTTGCTCAAGCCAGGCCCAGTGTCTCTCTCTTCCTGCTGCCTGCGGATCCAGGTGTGGAACTCAGCTCCCTCTCCAGCACATGTCTGTCTGCGTGCTGCCATGCTTCCCCTGTGATGATAGAACTCAAACGGAAGGAGCCTGGAGGCAGGAGCTGACACAGGGGCAGTGGAGGGTGCTGTTTACTGACCTGCTGCTGGTGGCCTGTTGCCTGCCTTCTCACAGAACCCAGGACTGCCACTGTGTGGTGGCCCCACCCACAAGGGGCCGGGCCCTTTCCGATGAATCACTAAGGAAATGCTCTTCAAGCTTGCACACAGCCCAACCTCAACTGGTGTTTCTTCTCTCACATGACCCCTCGCCAGATAAAAACCTCTGTATTAGTTACTTTTTCCTGTGATAAAACATCTGACAACATAAACTTGAGATGTGGGTTTATTTGATCATGGTTTAGGGGATGGAGTTGGGGGAAGATTGGGTCAAGGGTGGCTCCAGCTGTGGCAGGCGTGTGAGGTTGGTCACAGTGCCTTTGCCTTCTGGAAACAGAGATGAGCGCTGGTGCTCAGCTCACTTGCTTCAGCCCCTGACTCACAGTTGACACTGCCCGCACTCAGGGTGGGTGTTCTACCTCAGCATCTCAGGTACCGCCTTCACCAACACACCCAGAAGTGTGTCTCCTCGGTGATGATGCCGACGGTCAAGATCAACCATCGTGGCTGAATTAATCCCAGCACTCAGGTGCATCTCTGGGGGTTCGCGGCCAGCCTGGACTGCATAGACAGCTCCAGGCCAGCCAGGGCTGCAAATGAAATCCGGTCTCAAAAGAAAAGAGGGAGGGAGGGAGGGAGAGAGAGAGAGAGAGAGAGAGAGAGAGAGAGAGAGAGAGAGAAAACAAAAACAAAAACAAAAAATGGCCAGTCCTCCCAGAATCTCGAGGTGGGTCCACCCTGGGTGACCGGATAGCAGCTCTTTCCGAGTGAGGCCAGAAGGAGACTTCGCTGGAAGAGCCCCCTTAGACATAGTTTTTTCTGATCCTTTCTCAACCACATCATGCCGCTACTAGAACTAGAGAGCGAAGGCTGCAGTAGTCGCCCTTCCAGGCGAAAGGTCCTGGTGGGGCTGTGAGAACACGCTTGTATTGTAAATCCAAGGTCATGTGTCTGTCACTTTGTCAGTGAGCGAAGTCACACTGTTTGCACAAGTCTACCCAACCAAGACATGTTTACCCAGGATGAGGTGACGAGGGCTCTGGTGGCCACTCCCTATTGGCGCCTCTGTTCTCGGCATTTCCTACGGGCTACTTCTCCGGCCACCTGTACCAGCAGGACTCCGCATCAGACAAAGCCTCCACAGCTGCTGTTTTCAGAACACACTCGCGGGCAGGCAGGGTGGCGCATTCCTTTAATTCCAGCACTTGGGAGGCAGATGGATCTCTGTGAGCGTGAGTTGGACCAGCCAGGGCTACACAGAGAAACCCTGTCACACCCTAACAAAAGACAGAAAACACACCCGAGTAGCTGCAGGGACTCGCCCTTGCCTGTGTTTGTTACTGTTTGCTAGTGTAGGTACGGTGGAACAAAGAACACGTTCTAGCTGATTCATCCCAGATTAATGGTTACTTTTGCCTCCTGATGACCTTATTGCTTGTAGGCTTCAGCCAGAAAACGTTTTAGAGTAAATGGAACCACTGTGTATTTACTATTCTTCGTCTTCATTTGTTTCTTTCCATTAAGTTGGAGGATGGCAATTCCCTAAAGATAGGACGTTTTGAAAATAAAGCTTAAAGCAGACAATTTGCTGCCTCAAACTCTGGTTAGTTGTGTTCAAATAGGGGTAGAACACACACACACTGGGTGTTTCTGTTAGTTACAGGCATCTATTGTAAAAATTCAGAAAACAATTGTTTGTGCGAATTTCTGCACTCCCAACCTGTCCCCCTCACACTGGAGTTACAGGTGTGTGTTTCCCAGGCTTCGTGAGAGCTAAGGACTCAAACCCAGGTCTTCACGATTGCACCCCAAGCACTTTCCCTATGGAGTCGCCTCTCTGGCCCCCATAAAAAGTCTTTACTATGTGGTGGAAACAGCACGAATTTTGGAGTCGTGTGGACCTTACTCCAAATCCTGTTTTGTGACCTTGGGTGAGCACGCCACTTCTGAATCTGCTTTTCCCCCAGTGCCCCTCTGACCCTCATGTCATAAAGCGTCATGAAAATCTGGCCCTCACTGGAGCTCACCCTTATTCCACCTTCAGGCAGCCGATTTGTTCAGATCCACCATTTGAAAATGGTGGTCAAGATTTATCAATGAAATTTTCTCCACCCCCACATCTGTGGAAAAGGCAATTGGATTTCGTTCTTTTTGTTTAGATGAGGCCTCAGAGCAATATTCTGGAAGTCCTCCAAGTAGCATGGACCATATCTTTTCCATTCAGTACAGAGACAGCATCCAGATCTACACATTTAATCCGCCATTGTGCCTGTTGATGGATGCCACCTATTGTACTTGAAATGAAGGGAAGGTTTGTGCCAGAGAGGCTGGCGCTTACAGGATAAATCACCTTGGCACTGGAGGGATTTCTGCGGGGGAGGCACTAGCGACCACAGTCGGCTTTGGTGCCCATCCCAGAAAGTGAGGCTGAGACACAGGCCTGCGTGCTCAGCTCCAAACTGCCACCGGCTCAGTGCTGTGGGCACACTTCCTGCTGGCCAGCAGAGACAAGACAGCTGCTCGCAGCAGCACCCCAGGGCCTGGCCTGTCGGAGGAACTTGTTTAGAAGGGATTTAGCCCACGGAGGGGAGGAGGGGAGCATGGGCACAGCTGCTGCTGTGGGCAGGGCCCCAGACAATGAAAGGGGTCGGAAGGGGGACCGAAATCACCGTGCTGGCCTTCCAAGAGTTGGTAGCGACAGGTGACAGGCCTCTGCGGGGGTTCTGCACACCACCCCCAGGCTCGCAGCCAAGGAGGAAGAATAAGGAGAAAGAGCACCTGCCTCCCATGTTGCTGGGGACAGCTACAGCGTGGCTAGCCTAGCCACACACAGCGGGGGCAGGACAGGGCTCTCTCTTCCCCAAGGCAGGAGCGGGAGGCCCCCGGGCAAGGCAGGGTCCTGCAGCCTGGTAATTCATCTGATCATGTCCGGGCACTGTCTAGGTGTGCGAGCTTCAATAGGTTGTTGTGGTTGTTTTGCTTTCGTCACCTGACACAAACCTAGACACACCAGCCTCCATCCAGGAAGTGCCTCCTTCAGACTGAGGTGGGTGGGCCCAGCCCCTGCGGGGTGGAGCAGTCACTGGTCAGGTGGGCCTGCACCAGGTAGCTGTGTAGGAAAGGTGGCTGAGCAAGCCATAGAGAACAAGCCAGGGCATGGCGGCTTCTGCTCAGCTCCCACCTCAGCTGCTCGGGTAAGCTGGGAGGGGTGAGTTACCTCATCTTACAAGGGCACTGTGACAGACAGCCCATGAAGGAGGTGTTTATTTGGGCTCACATTTCCCAGTCCTGGGAGACAAGGTGTCACCTGCCCTCACGCGCTCGAGTTTGGCGGCTAGTGTTTTCAGATTCGTGGTCACTAAGACTGAAGCTAGGTAAATCACAAATAATAACAATGTTAGAAACATCCATCTGTGCTTTGAGAACGCAGGGCGTGGTCTGATTTCACCGGCATTCTAGAGAAGGCTAGGAGTGCGCACAACCTGGGTGTCATTTAAATTAAATTTTAAATAACAAGACTCATTGAAGCAAACTCCTGGGATTTGTTTATTCTCAGTATTACGCACATTTTAATCTGGAGTTCACTTAAAAACAGAGAATGTGTGACTGTGGGAGGTGGCTATCACTGTCTCATGAATAATAACTCTCCTGGCTCCACAGGTTGCCCAAACACATCATTCTTAAATATTTAATTTAAACTCAGGCTGTTTATAGATAATTATACACGGAAACAAGACAGAAGGGAGCTTGTCATTAAAAAATGATGGCCTTTTCAGTGACATCATTGAATACTTTAAATTTTAATGCCACATGTCGCAATAGTATCTAATAAAACAAAAGTAGGATAATCTGTTCAAATCAGGAGTGCATAAGTGTCTGTACTAATTGCTTTGTTTTTACATTATTGAATCAAAGCCCTCACTTTATTAATAAGAACAAAAGCATAAAATATTAATATGAATTGCATTTGATAAAATGACACTGATTGAATCATCTTAAAACTTAAAAATAAAATCAACTTAAAAAAAAAAAAAGCCTAGCACCAGGCATGATAGGCTATGCCTGCAATCCCAGCACTCAGGAGGCTAATGCAGAAAGACTACAAGTTCAAGGCCAGCCTGGGTTACAGAAAAACTGTCTCAAAAAACAAACAAATGAGAAATCAGATTTACCACATACGGATGTTATGGCCTGGCCTATATGAGGGGCTTTATCTAAAACTCTGTACCTTTATAGCCAAGTATGGTGGCACATACCTTTAATCTCAGCATTCAGGGGATGTGGAAACAGGTGGGTTTCTGTGAGTTTGAGATGAGCCTGGTCTATATAGTGCATTCCTGAACAGCCAGAGCTACATAAGAGAAACCCTGTCTCAAAAACAAAAGAAAACAAACAAACAAACCAAAACAAGGGTCTGGAGATGGCTCAGTGGTTAAGAACACTGGCTGCTCTTCCACACAGCAGCTCACATTTGTCCATAACTCCATTTCCAGGGGTGCTGACACCCCCCACAAACATACATGCAGGCAAAATATCAGTGTACACAAAATAAAATGAAAACAAACCAAAAATAAATGTTATTTAAAAAATCTCTACTGCTTTCTTAAAAATGTCAGAAATGCAAGTATTCATTGACCTAGATCCAGAGGGCTACATCCGGGCAGCCTAGATTTTGCACACATTATTTGTAAGTAGAGGAATTAAAAATAACCCAGAAAGAAAATGTCATTTATCACCATGACATATTCCTGCAGGGAAGCACCACTCCCCCACAGGGATGGGAGAAGAGAAAGAACAGTCACGTCCTCACATCGTCCCTCAGATGACGTGGCCACCTGGTATCTTGTCCCCAGGACAGGAGAAATGGGAAAAATGAGTGAGAACGTAAAGGAGGGGACCTTTGCTCCCAGGGTGCCGCCAAGCATAGGTAAATGATTGCTGGTGTTGGTCATTTGCTTGGATGAAGAGGCAAGCAGAACAAGGGACTGGAGAAATGGCTCAGCAGCCAGGGGCACTTCCTGCACTAGAAGGGCACCTGAGTTCATGCCCCGGGGCCCACGCTAGACACATCCCACACATGTACATTGCATGCATTGGTCATCTCCATACCTGCTGAATAGGACTCTCCTCCGAGCCAAACTGCCGCCATCTTCGTCAGG